CTCTCACTCAATTGTACAAGGCGTCTATGAACATTGTTCATACCATACTCAGTAAGTAAACATACAAAATAACATTACACTTTAAATAAAATGAATAGCGGAAATATTCATAAGTCAATTATGGGTCATGTATGGCAAAACATGGGCTTGTAGGCCCAAAAATAGAATATTCAATACAAAATATTCATGAGCATAGTTTATAGTTTCAAATCAATAAAAGAAGCTTGAACCACGTCTTCCTCGAGATCACTTCACTCGTGCAAAAGTGCAGGTAGCAAGCATTAGCTTCAATCTGAAAATGATGAGCCTCCCCGAAGGGGTCAATACACATGCAGCCCTAGCTAACGTGTGAGCTATAACGTTTGCAGATCGCTTACGGTGAGTGACAGAAAAACTAGCTTCTAATTGAAAAATATGTATTATATCTTCCATAATGATATCCAAGTAGGACCCCCCTCCGTCGAGCCGCAAAACAATAGCTAAATGCATCACTATCTACGTCCATTTTGATATCGCATTAGATTGAAACTAGTTCAAGTAAAAACATTCTAAATCATGATACCCCTAGTAGTAGCCTACAATATTGTTTTGTCACTATAGCAGCTTGTTAGAGTGGATATGTTAGTGCTCTGCGGATTTGGACGGTGTCTTACATTGTTTCTTCATCAATTGTGAATTCAACGTCCCCCAAATCCATTCTTTTCTGCATTTAGGATACTATTATTATTTAAACTAGTTTCGAACTTAGATTAGATCATACTATATCATATCAAATCATACCAGATTTAAAAGGATAAAAAAAGATGAAATCATTCCAGACTTTGGTAGTTGTAAAATACACATTGACCAGATATTTACTAGACCAGATCGTTCATACTAGACAAGATTAAACGAACCGAATTGGAAAATAAATAAAAAACGAATTGGAAAATTTCAGTCCAATTAAAAACATCTTTAATTTTCTTTTTGCGTAAACCAATCATATATGGATCTCTTTCTTTACATTATACCATCATCATGTTCTTCTTTTCATCCATCCTCTAGTATCCAGTAACTCCTCCTCCTTAATCAATGTGTTATGTGCTCGGCAAATTGTTGTAGTATTTCCTTAGTTACCCTTAAATGGTGAAACCAAAGATTCTCATTGAATTTTTTCGCTTTTGATTTCCTACAAAAATGTCAAACAAAATATAACAAAAATTACCACGCAATTATCATACAATTCAATTATCAAAACAAAAATTAAGACAAAATTTCCAAGCAATTTTACAATAATGCAATTATTATATTGCAATAATTATTACCACACAATGAGAATTCATTTATTACACATTTACAACCAAATGACAATGCGTTTATCAAACAACTACCAAATCAAAATATTCAAATTGCAGTTTTTGAATATAGGCGTTCAACATTTGGCACAGAAATTTTGAAAAGTTTAAAAATGACATATATCTTGAAGATATGGTTTTACATTCAAATGATGACTAGGACAACTAATCTTCATCGACAATTTTGGAGGCCCCTAGAGAGGGAATTCCCAAATTTTGGTGAAGTCTAAAGTCATTGACATCGGTTTTGTTTGGATAGAGTGTTGGTAAATACTACCTCCGTCCCAAATTGATTTGCAAATTTGACTTTTCTTGGTCAAACAGTTTCATTTTATTTGCTTAATTAGGATGTCAATTTTTAATTGTATTCTAATTTGGAGTTTGCAACTTCAGAGAGATTTTAATGTAATTTCTGAATACGTAATTTTTAATTATTAAAAATTGAATTAATTATCGATAGGGAGGATTGACTTTTATTATTGGTTGACCAAACAATGTTGACTTTGCAAAATAAGTTGGGGCGGAGGGAGTATTTAAATGTGTTGGTAACCCTCCCTATACCTCAATTCTTCAATTTTCTTAACACCCCAATTTGGAGTATTTTAGGATGTTGGACAATACGATCCTTCATAAAGAGTTGATCCTATTAGTCATAAGAGAGAACAGTATTACTGAAATTGGTCATCGTTGTAATAGGTGGGTACAACCGTACAAGTACATTTCAGCCCACAATTTGAATGTCTCGAATAACTAATTACGGTCATTTGAAAAGGGGTGGGATAAAATTAATGCATAAAATTATCATACGAAGAACTTAAAATCTATACATCATAAGTCATAGGTGGGATTCGAACTTAGACATGCATAATGTCATTTTGATTTTATTATCAACAAAACAATGATTGATGCTTGTTGTACGTTATCTTTTACTATAAGTATGAGAGTTTAGGTTGTCACATTTATGAACAATATAATTATAAAAAATTAAAAAATTACATTTGACTCCTTTATAGAATCATACTCCGTATAAGATGTTGTGGCACCACTACCTGCCCCCACTTATTTTTTAATGGGGATCTCCGCTAATAAATTGATGACAAGATGATGACGCAAAATCCAATGCGACTCCACAAGGGAGTACATTTGGTTTATAAAGGTGAGATAATAAATTGGATTTTGATTCACTCATGACCTAGTTATTTAATCGGTCTAGTCCCAAGTCCATATTACCACCTAACTGGCAACTTAAATATGTCATTTTTCATATATTATATTCCTTTAATTACTGATATCCATACACGCATATAACATCAATGTTTAATGTAATGCTACTTAATTGTTGTAATAGTGACACATTTATTATTACAATGATATGAACTATTTAAAGATATGATAAATTGGGGCAACAAATAGTTTTGCCACATCTTATTTCCCTCCTTTTATTATATAAATAAAGGTTATTAGGATGCATATGTTTTTTAGAAAAGTACTTCTTTATCATTTTGATCTTTAGAAAAATTATTATTGACGCTCTGATTTGATATATTATCATTTACACTCTTGCACTATTAAAACATGCTCTTAACCCTATTATTTATTGATCTTTTTACCAAAGAAGGCTTATATTATATCATAAGAAACTCACAGAAAATCAATAGGACAAGCACTCCCATTTAGATCACCAGCCATAGGATTCGACATAGAATTTATATGCGCTACAAGCACAACAATCCGCTAACCACTCAACGGGCATCTTGAAGCCGATTGTGACCAAAAGAAAGAGTCCCACATAACACTCACCAGATGAGTGCTTCACACCACAATCATGACAAAAAATATCTTAGTGTCCTGACTAACAAGACCAAAACCTGTAGAATAGTAATCAAAACTTGAAGTCTGAAAATAAAATTGAAAGCAAAATAAATAAAACAGAAAACTTGAGCCATCCAACTTCAGTTTGTTGGATTAGCCTATTGCCCAGAGCTCGTCCCAACCCCAATTTTCCCCCACCGATTTCAACCTCCATCATTGTGAATACTGCTATTGTCGTCGCCGCTTCCACCTGACGTTGTTTTTGCTCAACTACTTGTACCCCCTCTTCAGGACTCCCTTGATCCTTAGTCTCACCTCCATTCCCACATCATTGGCAGGTCCCATATTATTTGCTTTCTTTGTCACAAACCACTTAATACCTCCACCTCTCCCACTACGCCCACTACCTACCCTCGTCCACTGTCCAAATTCCTTCATTTGTTCCGAGTTTGGTTATCCTAGAACGTGAGGACATAATCTATCTCTACGGCCAATAATACCGCAAACAAAAAAAATTGGGGTGTTTTTCATCTCTGATCTCAAATCTACCCATAAACAATCCCTATTCGATTTTTTTAACTTTCAATTTTTCCCAGGTGGTTTCCTAATAGCAAGGCAAACCCAAATCCTCAAGTAGGCCCTTCAATGCCTCTCAAATTGGTTTTTAACAAGCTTAACAAAACATCCAAAATTATTACCAATAATTTTAGCAATCCTAAGAGTCAAGTGACCCACTGACAAATTGTGCACTTGAACTCAAAAATCTGAGAAATATAAAGGAACTCTAAAAGGCAAATCATCTGACTTTAGTTCATGCATCGCCACAAGGCTCTGATCATAAAGCCACTGGTCATACTCTATAACACGTTTCATTTCAATTTCATGATAAAAAGAAAAGAGATACCTTTTGTCACCAATTTGTTTGATTGAAACACCCTTTCTCGGTCTCCAAATAGAAGTCATTGTGTCCCTAAACAGTATGAATTTCACCATCTTCTCTATTAAAACAGTACCCTGAACCATCGCCCTCACTGGCATGGAGGTATCGATGACCCCGTCCTCCTCCTGAACCATCGTCATGGAGTGAACGCGCATTGCTCAAGACCGGAAGATGACGATTCACATTGGAGTTTGACTATTTGCGATTTTTACTTTAGTTTGATACCAAGTTTTAAATTGACTCGATTAGACAATTTCTCTCGTTTTTGGTTTGTGTGTGTTAGTTTTGGGAAGTTTAGTCTCAATACAATTAAAGGTATTAATGATTCTAATACTGGTAATTGTTTCAAAGTTTTCACATATTCAAAGATTTTTTTTGCTCAAATTTGGGTAAATTTTTTTGTCTAATGAGGGAGTGAGAGTATCTTTAATTCTTTATATGGTTGAGTTGATTCTCATATAAAGTTCACCAAACTATTTACTTTCATGAAAAATTTTATATGTCAAATAATAACTCAAAAATACCTGGTGTACATAGATAATGTGTGAATAGACGATATAGGCGCATGGTGGACATGTACCCCAAACCTTTTTATCATTACTCCATTTCATGCCTTTCGAAATCAATATACTCCGTAGAAGCTCCCAATGACCGAGGGATAAACAATAATTACGATTTCCGATTTACGAAAAAATGTGTTAGTTCAGTGTGAGAAAAGTTTTGTTTATACTCGTCCATTATACCAATTTTTATACTCATTGTTATCAATGTGAGAAAACTATTTTTTTGTCTGTTTTGTTTGTGAAAATGTTAGAATACAAAACTTTTTTTTTTTTTTTGCAAAAAAAATAAAAACTGTTTTATTGTAGAATACGAAAATCGCTCTTTTTTTTTACGAAAATCGCTTTCAGCATCTCGAGGAAGATTCTATTCAGTGCGAAAGAATTATACGGAGTAGACAGAATATTATACGGCATAAACTACCCGGTCTACAGTCTACACCGCACACCAGAATTTGTCTCAGAAGAAAGAGAGAAGAGGATCTCCTGGACTCCTGGTAATGGAGTTGGTGAAGGGTGGCTGCTGTTCTTCTTTCTCATCTCTCTCATCGTCTGTGCGGCATAAGCTTATCAGGAGAAGCAATCATTGCAATTATAATTATGGTTATGGATACCAGACTGTGAAGAAAAACCGGAACAAGGAGAATATTGCCCATTTGTTGAATCCATTTCCACATGTGCACTACTCGCATTCTCGAAACTTCGAGACTCCAATTCATCATCATAGGATTAAGGCTCTGAACCAGGTTCGAGTCCTGCTTTCATCTATTTTCAACTCTCGATTCAATTTTACTGTTAGTTATGTATTCAATGTCTCTGTTCTTATTCGCATAAGTTCTACTCATGCGGAATGGAGTCGGGTACTCTGACTTGGAGCTAAAAATATCGAAAAACTTACAAATTCATTATTGGTGTGGTGTCAGGCAGACAGCGTCACTGGGGGGCGAAACATTTCTTCCCAGATTTTGGGTGTTGAGATTCAAAATTGCATTAGAACTGCATATTAAAGCAAATCAGGAGAGTGTGGGGGCAGGCTGCCACCACCAGTGGTGTCAAAGCTAAAATACATTATAATGCACACGAGTCAAAACATATGAATTTAGTCGATTAACTAGTCTAATTCAAAACCTTATAAACACTTATATCTCTTTGCGTTTTAATATTTTAAGTTGGGACTCTTAACAAGATTAAGTCTATTTTGACACGGGCACATTACTCCAGTATTGAGATGAGAATATTATTCACTTGAGAATTTGTAGATTATATGTCTCTTGAAGCGTAAGGTTTTATGTATATATACTGTTCCTCATGTCTGCTAATAATGTTTATTAATGCGTATGCCACTTTTTTACCAAGTCCAGTCACTCATTTGTCCGACATATGATGTCTTAGGAATTAGGATATTCTCCCTATCAGATACTACCTCCGTCCCACTAAGATTGGGACAAAAGAAGGTGACACGATTATTAAGAAAAGTGAGTTCGTGTGGTTGATATTAAATTAATAAAGTAAGAATAAAGTAAAAATGATTTAGAGCCACACAAACTTTACCAAATTTGGTATGAGACAATCTTAGTGGGACTTCCCGAAAAGGTAAAATGGGACAATCTTAGCCAGACGGAGGGAGTATTTTATTATGGAATCCTAATATTAATAAAGGTGTTGATCATGTGTAAACTACCTAATCGTACATTCAGGTGGAAGATGAGAAACTAGAAAATTCAAATGCTGATTCTGGGTATGGAAACCTTGAATGGCCTTCTCCAAATGATGTAATTCCATTCTGGAAGAGGGAATTTCCATTACATAACATTGCCTCAAGAGTTTCATCTCCTGTGGAACATGATTCTAACCTTATGCACATTGTTCATGTGACGGCTGAAATGGCCCCCTTGGCTAAAGTTGGGGGTCTGGGTGATGTTGTAACTGGACTTGCCCGTGCTTGTATACTGCGTGGACATGATATTTTGGTTATGCTTCCTTTTTATGAGAGTATTCCAAAGCACTGTATCAATAGCTTGGAATTGATCAATACTTATAACTCATATCATGATGGAAATTGGGTCCCTACCAATGCTTATCAAGGAGAAGTTTCAAACATTCCCGTGATATTCATTGAACCATCTAACCATTTCTTCAAGGGACACAGCATATATGGAGGATCGTACAATGAGCTGGAAGCATATCTATTTTTCAGCCGAGCTTGCCTTGAGTGGATGCAGGTAGGTATTCTGTTTTAATGAATTTGGTTATGCTGTGACATTAATTATATAGACAAATTTAAGTTGATGTGTCACATCAACCTTATAATTATCTGCATAGGTGAATCTTTGTGTCAATGGATGACTGCTCTCAAATTGATTCTATAACACCCAAATATAATATAAGCCACTTTAATAATATATTTCGTGAATGTTGGCCTCTAGATAAGCATTCATAATAAAAAACTTTCTTCTTTTAGGTTTCTTTTATTGTTTTCTCTACTTTATTGATATGCATATACTTTGGACCATGTTCAATGATGTGCATGTTGATTTGACAATCTCTTACCTGCAATGGAACAAAAATATAGAAACTATCTCTACTGTAATGTGCCCAATATAGAAACTATCTCTTACTGTATATATAAAGTAGAGATAGTTTCTATGTGATAGAGGTATTCCGATTAGATTGAATGATAAATTTCATCAAAGAACTATTAAGCCTGCATTATTATACGACACAGAGGATTGGACGGTGAAGCAATGTGCCAATGTCACATTCAAAAGATGATGTGGCAGAGATGCACATGTTGCGTTGGATGTGTGGACATTAGAAAAGAGTGCTTCAGGAATGAGACAATTTGACAAAAGGTGGGACTAATACCTATTGAAGATGAGATGCCGGAGTTTGATTGCAGTGGTTTGGTCATTCGAGTAGAAGACAAAGTGATGCACCTGTTAGAGTTGAGAGGCGGGGACGCCGGGGAGAAGAGGCAGAGATGAGAGGGAGAGGAAGACCCAAACATACGTGGATTAGAGGAGTCACGACTCATGAGTGCAGAACTATATTTAAATATCCAATTGTCTTTGATTCTTTTGCCTTATCTTTTGTAGAAACCCAGGGTTGTATTGACAATCCACAACATGGAGCATTACGGAGAGTGCAAGTGTAGTACTAAGTTCATGCGCTTTAACTTATCACTATAAGCAGAAATTGGTTTATTTATTTGGCTTAAATCGATGTTACAAACACTTTTCCTTTTCAAAATATTGTGTATGCTTTAGTTTAGTTAAATATATATTAATTTTGATTTAATAGTCGGTTACCACTGATTTGGGATTATTGAGTTTGCTTGTACTTTTGAGAAGTGAATTATTATACACACTACAGAGAAAGTGCTTAATTGTAAAAAGTTGGTAGTGTTTGAAAACAAAAGTGAAAAAGTACTTTTTGGTGTATTAGTTAACCCAAAATGTTATAGAAAAGTGATATGTTTCTTCTTGGGTTAGATGAGAGTGTGACTTTGGAAAGAGCAAAGTGGAGGGTGAAAATTCTTATGGAGGATTATCCTTTTTATATACATATTATTTTTATTCTTTTAATCTTATACTCCGCTCTTAAATAATTGCAATACTTTCCTTTTTCGGAAATTTTAAAATAATTGCAACCATTCTCTTTTGGGAAATAAAAATAGATGAAATGACTTCAGCACCCTTAATACATACTCCCTCCGGTTCTTATTAAAGTTCCCAGTTTGACTTCACACATATTAAGAAAATGAATTTGACTTTACTGTGGAGTGCACTGTTTGGCACTGTTTGGACACTGTTTGGCACCGTTTTGCATTGTTTTGTTTCCTAAAATGGAAGTGTGAACTTAAATAAGGGACATCCCAAAAAGGAAAGTGAGAACTTTAATAAGAACCGGAGGGAGTATACCTCACTCTGATTCATCTCTGTTCTTTCCTTTCCTTGCCCAGTTACAGTGTTACACACCCGATTACTATGTGCTCTCTCTCTCACACACACACACACCCATACAGTTTTACCTTCTTCACTCTCCCTTCACCAACGAGGCTACCAAGTACCATGGATGACCCATCTGCTTCCATTTCACATTTTTCCTCGCCATCTATTTTTTTAAATCAATTCTCTAATCTTTTGTTTCCTTCCAGAAAAACAGAACTCCGGCCTTAAGATCTAAATAACGAAGATGTAGTTCTTTTGTTTAGTCGTTATTCTAAACAAATGCACTCAATCCAATTTAGATGCAAATCTTATTGTCTTCTAGGTTTTATTAATGTTTGAGTAATTTGTAAAGAGCAAATCCCATATGAATACTGCAGTTATGATAATGTTTTATCATGACAAAGGATAGCACAGCCCTGCACAGTGTATTGATGGAGTACTGTAGCACTTTAGATGTTTAACTATTACCCTGTAGTCAAGGACATAATAGGGAGAAAACAAATTGAAGGGCAATGTCTTAATATCTGTGCCCAACTGAGCATTGCATCTATTTCCGAACAGAGGAAGTATTTATCTTTATCTTTATATCATCCCTTTTATCTTTTTTACCTTACATTATCTTTTATCCTTCTTATCTTTCTTATCTTTCCTTTCCTTTCGGCTCCAATATCATGTATCGATTATTCAATTCATGTTAGCCGACCTCAAAATCTTTCGCCATTAAGGTTTGGTGCTGTTGTTGTTCCTTTGTAAAAGGTTGCAATGGTAAGATGACAGTAATAATGATTGATTTGCATTTTTTGGTCATGTTTTTTATATTATTGTTAAATTACACATTCACACGTCATTCTGCTTATTCTTGAGTTAATCTACCCATGTAAAATTATACTCCCTCCGTCCCTTAAAGTTTGTCACACTTTCCCGAAACGGATGTCCCAAAATGTTTGTCTTACTTTTTCAACTTCCTTATTTGGTAAACAAATCTATATCAAACAGTGCAAAACAGTGCAAAACAGTGCCAAAACAATGTCGCTACAGTGTGAAACATTGTCGCTACAGTGTAAAGTCAAATTATCTCCTTAAAACTTGTGAAGTCAAACTATGACAAACTTTGAGGGACGGAGGGAGTATATAGCTAACCATCCAAATTTAAGCATCTCCTCATCCCATTGCAGGTAACCGGAAAACAACCTGATATTATTCATGTGCACGAATGGCAAACTAGTGCTTTACCTCTCCTTTACTGGGATATGTACCTATATCTATCAATTCAGGTATACCAAGGAGCTAATGTTTTGTCCTGTTTCTGCCTTTTGGAGCTCCGCAAGCTGATATAGTGCAGAACTATATTTAAATATCCAATTGTCTTTGATTCTTTTGCCTTATCTTTTGTAGAAACCCAGGGTTGTATTGACAATCCACAACATGGAGCATTACGGAGAGTGCAAGTATAGTACTAAGTTCATGCGCTTTAACTTATCACTATAAGCAGAAATTGGTTTATTTATTTGGCTTAAATCGATGTTACAAACACTTTTCCTTTTCAAAATATTGTGTATGCTTTAGTTTAGTTAAATATATATTAATTTTGATTTAATAGTCGGTTACCACTGATTTGGGATTATTGAGTTTGCTTGTACTTTTGAGAAGTGAATTATTATACACACTACAGAGAAAGTGCTTAATTGTAAAAAGTTGGTAGTGTTTGAAAACAAAAGTGAAAAAGTACTTTTTGGTGTATTAGTTAACCCAAAATGTTATAGAAAAGTGATTAGCAGTTTTGAGCACCCCTCCCACTGCTTATAATTTTTAGCTTGAAATTGCTTACATTTTTAAAAAAAAACACCAGTTTGAAAACACTACTTTTAGGTGAGTTTTAACTTTTTCAAAGCAGAAATCAGAAACACACTTTATAAGCAATGTCAAACACTCCCTAAGGCTTGGTTTTTGCTGGTTTTGTGGTCATTTACCATCCTCAACTGACCCTATGTTGCTTTCCCGAGCACACATTTTATCTCACAGCCACTAGCCCACTGCTCTCATTAAATTCCAATTGCACATACACCCTTCTAACAATTCTCAACTCATTGCATTCCCAAAGTGAACCTAATTGGTGGGCACCATAATGGAAGACAGAATGTTAACTATTTTTAGCTACTTAGCGCCAATTATCTTCATTATAATATCAAATTGTTTAGTTAAAGCGCCACCGGCCCACTTCATATTCATTAACTTTTGGTTGGTATGTTTGCAACTATTATCCTAAGTGGCTGTTTACATTGTTTACATCATTCTCTGCCTTATTTTATATTGACAGCAAAGAGCAATTCAGCAAGTGTGGCCTTGATGGATCTTTGTATGGATCTGAAGAAAAGGTTTGGTTATAAAACAAATGTAGAGGTGTCAACCATTTCTCTATGCATGCCATAATTTAGCATGGAAGTGCATTATATGGATCTAGAATATTTTCAAATTTCATGGATTGGTGACAGTTTGTTAACTATTGTTAACTATTTCATGGATCTAGATATTCTGTTTCAGCTAAATATCGAAAAACCTTCAACAAGAGATAAATATAGAATACCTCTATAGTTGAGTTATCTTGCCTCATACTGATCTTAAATTTTCAGGCAGTTGATGATCGCACAATTGGCCACAATCCTGAGAGATTAAGTCTCCTTAAAGGTGGCATAGTCTACAGTAATGCAGTAGTGTAAGTTCAGCTAAGTTCTTTTGTTTAATATTGAAATGGTTAATGTGCACGTAAAAGTAATAAGTATACACCTGGACATTATGACATACATACATACATACATGCCTAAAGTGAATGTAATTATCTTTATAAGTGTGGGCCCACAACCCTACACACATTTTATTCTTCATGAATGTGAAACACCTATGACATCAATTGTTTTAGAAGTACAGTGGAAAGGATTTTCCAGATAGATGAGTAAATTATTGACACATGTACATACACCCCATTGAACTTAGGGATTGGATTCTGAAGGACCCGGCAGGAGTTAGACAGTCTAAACTATTTAGAAAGTAAACCAGAAAGGATATACATATTCTATTGATAATCATGTAGTGCTTGCATTCTGAAAAAGACATGCATTTATATATCACAATGGGGCTACATAATGGAGTAGAGCACCAGAGTTAAACTAGGGATTTTGTATTCTATATGACTATATTTCAAGTTTCTGACACATCATGCTCTACATCATAAAGTAAGGACTCCAACAGATTAGTTGTAACAGTATTTATAGTTTTCATAGTATGCATCATAGGCTTCGATGTAGTCATGCGCTATGAAGGTTTTAGATTGAATTGGCAGATTAGTGTAGTAATAAATCCATGCCATGGAACCTCCTTATATTCACATTTTGGCACCTCCTTGGTGTAATCAGATAGATTTTTTATTTTAATTGTAAAAAGTTTACATCACATTTCTCTATTTGGCTCATCATGTACCATATTAGCATGATATTGATTAGAAGTACTTTGGCTTCGAGCTTCAAGTTTGACATGTGTATATGCCTATATGGTCCATGCATTATAATTTTATCATCATTCCTTTGTTTTTCATTTAGCTGTTAAAAGTGTTTTACTCTTCCTCAAATTTACAGAACAGTCTCTCCAACATATCTCAAAGAAACACTTTGTTCTGGATGGCTTGCCAGCACTTTGATAAGACACCGCGATAAGTAAGTTCTTTAAAACATCATTTCCATGAAATTTATTTAGTTTTAGATTTCAGAATTCTGTCTGTTACTGTCATGGTTTTGTTTGACTGTTTTAGTAATTGTTATTACTTGTGGATGTTGTAATGTTCTATTATAAACTGTTTTGTTTGTTTTGAACATTTTCACATAATGGGAAGTATGGTCTATGGAGTTATGGACTTCCGATTAACATCAGAAAAGGAGTGTGACAGAAGTTTTATGTAATAATACAGGTATTCTGGTATTTTAAATGGAATAGATACTACAATGTGGAACCCTGCAACCGATATATATCTGCCTTCTAAATTTGATGGTAACTATTTCTGTATATGATATACTTTGCCGAGAATGTCATTTCTTAATTGTCACCCTCATTAGATTCCTTCGGATTGTATAAGGTAAGTACTGTTGCTACTATGGTCTATGAAAAACTTAATTATTACTGGCTATTCTTTCTCCACCCTTTCCCTCTGATTTTTTTCGTTCATCTTGGAAGCTAGTAATATCAAAGGGAAGCAGATATGCAAATTCTATGTTCAAAAGGGGCTTGGTTTGGCCGTGGATGACATGAGCCCACATGGTTATTCTTCGCATCGAGTGCCTTTGGTTGTTTGCATTACTAGACTAGTTCGTCAAAAGGGTCTTCATCTGATAATTCAGGCAATCAAGCATGTCAAGGAGTTAGTAAGTTCCCTTCCTCATCCACTTTTTGAAGAACACGCTCACAAGGCCTAAAGGATAGCTTTTACATACTGCTTATTCCTACAATGGCAAGGAAAACACATGCTAGGAGCTTCTCATGCTTTCTGCTGTATTTCCTTTAAAATGTACTTACCTTTCAATAAGATGTTTAACAGCCCAATATATTCCTCCTTTTCCTCTTCTCTTCCACTTGACTGAATTCTTTGGTTCATCTTTAATGTAATGTTTTAATGGTTGCTAGAGCCTCTTTACCTTGCACACTTGATGGGGCCTTTAGGAGAAGACAAAGGAATCCCAATTTTTATGTCTATTTTGCATGCGAAATGTGTTTCCTAAGCCATGAGACCATTTTTTGGTATCATGTCTCTCCCAAGACAAGATAAAGGAGGAGGGTGTTGTGGTAGGCGCATCATGACCTACTGTATAACCTAGTCACATGACATGACATGAATCGAAATATGAATATCACTAGTTTCGATTTCATATGTCGATTCATGTTAGCCGGCCCAAACACTTTTGGGACTAAGGCTTGAATGTTGTTGTTGTTGCCTGCGGAATGTAGGAAAGTTATAAGTTTACATCACTTGGTTTGATATTTAATGTAAACATGATATGAAGCGGAATCTGGGCTTGGAAGAAGAGGGGCAGAAGCCCCCGTGGGTTTACTGAAGGCGGGAACGGACTTGAGCCCACCTTTGTGGGCTGATTGCGGGCTGCTTAATTAATATTTATTCTTTTTAATTTTCCTGATTTGTTTCCTATTTGGAGTTAATAAGGATTTCTAATATTTGTTTCCTATTAGGAGTTAATTAGGATTTCTATTATTTGTTTCCTATTTGAAGTTGATTAGGATCTTTTTTTATTCTATTTCCTAGTTGGAGTTGATTAGGATTTCTAGGATTTTGTTTCCTAGTTTGGGAATTAGTAGATGGGTATTTAAACCCCTTGTTAGGATTCATTATGGCTCATCTTGGAATAAAATTGGGTTTAGCCTTTTGGCTTTGGGCAACGGTATTTTTTATCGTTGATTATCTGGGCAACGGTTTACCCCGTTGATTTTTATTTTTCTGCTCTCAACAATTGGTCCGACCTGCCGGATCCCGTTCCCGCTGGAATGACGAGATCAACCAGTGAACGTTTGTCAAAGGTGGAGGTTGAACTGGTTTTGATGAACCAAAAACTAGACGGGAGGGGTGCGAAGTTGGATGCACAAGGAATCCTACTGGCAGAGATCGCATCCTCCTTGGCTGCGCTCACGAAGGCTCTCGTGCCTCCAGTGACGGAGGAGAATTCATCTGCGGTGGCTTCACTCGATGCGTCATCAACATCCACGTTCGGAACTTGTCTGTGCAGCACTTCTCTCATGATGCTGCCCTCATTTGACAGAGAAGATCCGATCGGCTGGGTTGCTAGGGCTGAGCATCAGTTCGAACTGAACTGTACTCTGCCGGGAAAGAAGGTGGCAGCCACTGTAGTTGTGATGGAAGGGTTAGCCCTATATCGGTTGACCAGGATACAGGCACAAAAGCCGGGCATGACATGGGATGAGCTTACACAGGCGTTGATGGCTCATTATGACTCACAGTTTAAGGGCAATTGCTTTGAACGGCTGTATGAAGTCAAGCAGACAAGGACTATGGCGGAGTACATCTCAATTTTTGTTCAACTAACAAGTCAGGTCCCAAGGCTATTTGACGATCATTATTTGGGGTATTTCATGAACGGGCTGAAAGTATTGAGTGGCAGCTTTCCTAAAGATACTGGGCAGCCCCCGGGGACAAATGTCAACCGGTTTCCGGGTTTCAACCTTGAGGACAAGGTTTTTTCGAACGGGGGTGGAATTGATATGAAGCAGAATCTGGGCTTGGAAGAAGAGGGGCAGAAGCCCTCGTGGGTTTACTGAAGACGGGAACGGGCTTGGGCCCACCTTCGTGGGCTGGTTGCGGGCTGCTTAATTAATATTTATTCTTTTTAATTTTCCTGATTTGTTTCCTATTTGGAGTTAATTAGGATTTCTAATATTTGTTTCTATTAGGAGTTAATTAGGATTTCTATTATTTGTTTCCTATTTGAAGTTGATTAGGATCTTTTTTTTATTCTATTTCCTAGTTGGAGTTGATTAGGATTTCTAGGATTTTGTTTCCTAGTTTGGGAATTAGTAGATGGGTATTTAAACCCCTTGTTAGGATTCATTTTGGCTCATCTTGGAATAAAATTGGTTTTAGCCTTTTGGCTCTGAGCAACGGTATTTTTTATCGTTGATTATCTGAGCAACGGTTTACCCCGTTGATTTTTATTTTTCTGCTCTCAACAAAACAGGAGGATACTTTTTAATAATTTCGCAGTGTACCATGTAAATCATTTTACATGGGCAGAGGGTGGTGAAATACTTCAATGATTTAATGCAATTACTTTGTGTGTAATATAAAAGTAAATTACACACCTAATCAAACAATGTAATTTTATTTTACATGCAAATTGATTGTTTCCCTAAACTTTACATGCAATCATTTTGCGTGCAAAGCTTTTATGTGGAAACTGCCAATGAGGCCCTATCACTTTTTCTTGTTATCTTAATGGGTCCACCCTAAGCCAGTGTAGATCCCAACATTTTCATGCTCGTGAGAAAGTATTTGCTCCTATATTGCCAAAACATGATAACACTTCACTGTTTTTATATTGTAGCTTTTTGTGCATGAAAGCACGGTAAAGTAGTGATCAACTTAATTCTTTATTTTTAATCTGCTTGTGTGTATCACTTAGTTACGTTATTATTCTATTTTGAAGGGTGGACAGATGGTTGTCTTGGGGAAAGCTTCAGAAGGTCAAGTTGAAAAACAGTTTCAAGATCTTGCTAAATCGGTAATTGTCTAATTGACTTTAAGAGCTCATATGATGATTACCTTTTGTGATGCATGAATATCATATACGAAGTAGTACAAGTGTAACAATGTAGTCGAAGGTAGAGAATAGATTGACCAAGAGATGAAATGAGCTAATTTTGTTGATCTCTGATGGAGGTTACATGGGTATTCATACATATGGGTGTAATAACATTTCTAATTCTCAACACTCCCTCACAAGTTGGAACATAGATATTTGTCATGCTGAATGTTAAGCAAAAAACCAGTTTTATCTTGCATAAAATAACAGTATAAAGAACAAACTAAATTACATGTTTCACCAATCTCAACAATGTAATGTGTATTAGCACAACATAATTATTTCAACAGAATTATTACATCTGAATATATTGTATCTGGCCTCTTATTTTAACTTCAGCACCTAGTTTGCTGACCATTTATTTGTTTTGTAGCATAGCCTTGGTTCCAGCGTCCGTATCCTTTTGATGTACAGGTAAACTAGTAATACCCAAGATCTTTTTACTTTTCTACTTTCTTTAATCTTAATTGTAACCTCCTGCCGTTTTATTTTTTTTACGATTTACCCTTCTTCATCAGTTCTTTCTAGGTCCAAAGAACATATGGTTCTTTCCAACTGACCACCTCATGTCACATTGTGGCTTTTTACGAAGAGAAAAACTAAAACTCTAAAAACCAAAAAGGCTGAAACAAACATGACCCACAATTCAAAAGATTTTTGTTATCAATAAAGAAGGATATATGAGCCATCAACAAAATTCATCTCCCTCTCAAGCAGAAAACATATTCAAGGTTGTTTGGGACGTCCTCTCCCTCTCTTCCCTACCTATGCTCCCCACCTCTCAATTCATTTAACAAGTGCATCAATTGGTCTTCTGCACACATGGCTAAACCACCGCAATCGAGACTCTCATCTTTCTTTCAATAGGTGCTAGTCCCACCTTTTACCTGATTGTCTCGTTCCTCAAGCAGTCTTTTCTAGTATGTACACAAATTCAACACAACATGCGCATCTCAACCACACTCATCTTTTGAATGTGGCCTTGTTTCACGCCCAACACTCTATGCCATTCAATAATGCAGGTTTAGTTGTTGTCTTGTAAAACTTACCCTTTAATCTAGTCGGCATACCTCGATCACATAGAAATCCTGACGCACTCTTTCATTTCATCCACTCTGTCCTGATTGTATGTATGCATCTTCATCAAGTTTAGTGTCCTTATATATTACAAAATATATATGTATGTGTGGAAAAAATCGTACACTAAGAGCATGCTTGGCATTTTGCGGTTAGCTGATAGCGGGTTATGTTAGCAGGTTGTCAATAACGGATTCAGTCAGCGGGTTTGACTAGCGGAATAAGTTGGTGGGTTGCCAGAAGGTGTTTGGTAATTTGGTTGTTTGGCCATAAAAATTAGTAGTAAACGTCATTTTTCAAAACGCTAATCCGAAATTCTCTTATTTGAAGTGTTTCCATTTCAACGGTTCAGTCCAAAAATGATAGGCCCGAACAGCTATTTACCAAACGGCGTTTTCATTTATTGAAAACGCTAAAAGAGGTCAAAGTGCCATTTTTTGGTTGAAACGTCATTTTCCAAAAAAAAACCCTAAAAATAGTGAAACAATTAACAAAAGTTTACTCCATATATGTTTTTGTGTTCCTTATACTTGCAACTGGTGAACTGCCCCTTCTACAGAAATATTTATACTATTTGTGGCTAAAGCATAATATGGTAATAACCGTAATATAATTGTGAATTTTCTGAATTGATGACTCTTTTATTCTGGGCAGTGAGGAGCTGTCTCATATGCTTTATGCTGCTGCAGACATGGTTCTAGTCCCTTCCATATATGAACCGTGTGGCCTTGCTCAGATGATTGGAATGCGTTATGGAGCAGTATGTGCCATATCTTAAGCAATACTGTATATAATTATGTGGATGACTGAAAATATTTCTCAATCTTTCCATTTAAATGATAAAAGAGAAACTGTGTGGAGCTGGGAGAGGAGTTAGGTTTTGGAGCGGAATGGACATTTCTGATTTTATAGGCCTTGTTTGGTTCAAAGGAGGGGAGGGAAGGGGAGAGTCAAGGAGGGAAGGGAAGGGAAGGGGAAGGAAGGATTTTGATAAAAATTTGTGTTTGGTTGGAGGAAATAGGAGGAAAGGTTTAATGAAAATATTTTCGCAATTTACTTTTATTTGATAGCTTATTTAAAAAAATAGATACATGTCTAACTATTGTGAATATTACTCCTATGGTCATGAGTCATAATTTTATTTTATTTGATTTTTTACTTTTTTAATTTTATAATTTTTCATTTTTCAGTTTGGAATTTTTAATTTTTAATTTTTATTTTTTAATTTTTTTATTTTTAATTTTTAAAATTTTTAATTTATAATTTTTAAATTTTTTAATTTTTAAATTTTTTAATCTTTAAATTTTTAAATTTTTTAATTTTTCAAAACTTTTTGTTTTTTTACCTTTTTATATTATAACGTTTTGTTCATTCACATAGGAGATGAATAGTTTGTGGTAATCAACACGTTTCCTCCGAAATGCCCCGATTTGGGGGTTTAGAATGGGAGGAAGTGCAGGATTTTGAAAGCCCTCCACTTTCCTCCCCTTCCCCCCTATTTCCTTCAACCAAACACACACAAATCCCCCACTTTCCTCCCCTCCTCCGAAACCCTCCAACCAAACAGGGTCATAAAGTAATGCTTTGACACATGCACACAAATATATCAGAAAAAATGTATAAAAACTTTCTGTTAGTGGAAAGGAATTTTGGTAATGTATCAAAACTTTTCTAGTTTTATACGAGGAAAAGGTAAAAGAGTCTAGTAAGCCTTTTTACTTTTCGAATAAGTGTCGCATAGATATATCTACTAATAAAAAAGGCTGAATTGGACCAGTTCACCGGAAGATGAACTGCTATTGCAGGTAATTTGTTCATGTGCCTTCTGTCATGCATAACATTTCCCTCTAAAACTTAGACACCTCATCGTCTTATTATTCCCTACCATTTGATTTTTTTATCTTTTCCCCTTTCTTTTAAATTATGGCATCATTTTTTTGGCATCGCCGTCCAGTTATAATAGATTGACTGATGCAATTCTTGATCTTCCCCTTGTCTTCTTCTCCTTCACTTATGGGGAAGGTAGCACCACCGCCACAGTAAAAACCATCATATGGGTTAATAGATTGTTTTATGTATAAATAGGTTCATGTGATACTTGTTTCAGTAAAAGGACTTTTGTGACGAATTTCAAATAGCAAAAGGGTTTATTTGACCCAATTCCCTTTGTACAAATATATATGCATAAAAGTATCTGAGTTGAAAAATATATCAATACTTTCTGTTAGTGGATGGAAATTTTGATAAATAGACCTACATCTTGATAAAGTGATGTTGGAAGTATGACAACAAACATTGGAGACCAAGGGTTTCAGTCTGAGTCGAAGCAAGACTGAGTATATGGAGTGCAAGTTTGATGGAGGTACAAGTAGTAGCAACAGTGGAATTACTCTTAATGGTAAAGAGATACCGGTGTGATATGTTCCGTTATTTGGGCTCCATAATTCAAGAGGACGGTGAATTAGATGGAGATGTATGTCATAGAATCAGAGCTGGGTGGATGGAATGGAAGATTGCATCAGGATTTCTATGTGATCGAAGTATGCCGACTAGACTGAAAGGTAAATTTTATTGAACAACAATAAGGCCTGCATTAATGTATGACGTAGAATATTGGGCGGTGAAGCAATGCCACATTCAAAAGATGAGTGTGACAGAGATGCGTATGTTGTGTTGGATGTGTGGACATATCAGAAAAGACCGCTTGAGGAATGAGATAATTAGACAAAAAGTGAGAGTAGAACCTATAGAAGATAAGATGCAGGAGCCTCGTTTGCGGTTGTTTGGGCATGTGCGTAGAAGACCGGGTGATGCATCTATTAGACAACTTGAGGGGTGGGGAGAAGAGACAGAGAAGAGAGGGAGAGGAAGACTCAAACAGACTTGGATGAGAGGAATCAAAACTGATATGCATCTTCTTGGGTTGGATGAGAGTTTAACTTTGGAGAGAGCAAAGTGAAGGGTGCACATCCGTGTGGACGATTAATGTCTTTTCTACATTTCTTCTCTCTTTTCTTTTCTTTTATCGTTTGTCTTCTTTATCTTTTATATTCTTATATTATTTTTATCTTTTAGCTTTTTTATGCCTTTTTTCTTTCTTTCTTTTATCTTTCTTATATTCTTATGTTTTTGTTATCTTATATTTATTTATCTTTATTTTATCCTTTTTATCTTACGTCTTTTTCCTCTCTCCTTGTCCGTCTCTCTGTTCGGCATCGATATCATAGATCGATTCATGTTAGCGGACTCCAAATTCTTTTGGGATGAAGGCATGGATGTTGTTGTGGTTGTTGACCTACATCTTGATAACTCTATGAGAGTTGGTCAGTTTTTTTATTCATGCGGAACAGAATCATTGATTATACTTTTTCCTCAAAATTCTTTTTGTGTTATCTTGTAGCTGTATTAAGTAATCTTTTAAAGTAACTTCGAAACTCGATTCAAATTGGGCTTTGTTTATGACTGTTTCAGGTTCCCATAGTCAGGAAGACTGGCGGTCTTGCAGATACAGTTTTTGACATGGACAATGACTCGCAATCAGATATTGCAAATGGGTATTAAACTACTTGATATGCTTTTCCACATTTTATGATATGCAACATCGATTAGTAAACTCATTCATTATCCAGAATAGTTTAGCTGCATATTTGCCACCCATTTTTTCACCCACTTTTACTTGGCACGTTTGTTCGTATTTTAGAAACTGGATTTGTGTACTTGTAATGGACAACACACAAAGGAAAAATGAAAGAAACATATGGGTCTAGGGAGTATTTCTATGTTATTTTTTAAGGTCAAATACATGTTAATATTGTTGCATACATTTTTTTGACAGGTTTGTCTTTGAAGGAATTGATGAAGCATCCTTAAACTGGGCTTTAGAACGTGCATTTTTACACTACAGAGAGAGTAAGTAATATAGTACCGTTAAAGATTTCCTCCCTCCCCCATAAACGATACAAATGACAAAGAAAATATATTCTGTTGATAAAACCATTCATTTTTGTTCGCATCTGAAGTCTGATAGGCATAACATTGAGTTAGGATGTTGGTAGAGACGTAAAGTTAATGCGCTCATTAAAAATGGCACTGCATAAACTCTCACATCTCCCTCCGTCCCGAAAAGGTTTGCCAAATTGACTTTTCTTGGTCAACGACAATCAACTTTGACCAATGATATATTTTAATACGAAATTATTTAGAATATGAAATTTATATCAAAATATTCTTTATTGAAAATATTTTCATCATTTTCATTTTCATTTACCCCAGTGCCGCAAAGGCTCCCACCTACGATGGGGTAGGGGGGGTCGGATGTACGCAGTCTTACCCCTGTACTAAAGCACAGAGAGACTGTTTTCGAATGACCCATAGTGAAAATCCCGTCCAAAATTGCATGGACTGACTGCTGCTTCATAACAAAGAAGCGCAGACAGTTTAGTGAGTCATTTTGCTTTATTCCATCATAATCTCAAGCCAAAAAATAATGAATCTTTGACTCCATTGCAAATGATGGAAAGATTGAAAATATTTTCATAAAAGTAAAAAAAATTATAAATTATATACAAATATAATAACTAAAATCATTGCTCAAAGTTTGCCATCATTGACCAAGAAAAGTCAATTTGGCAAACCTTTTCGGGACGGATGTAGTATTTAATTTATCTCAACTTATTTGTGCCAAGCTTGGATAAAGCAAGGCTAACCTGGTAATGAATGTTACTAACCTCAAGGCCAGGTATACAATATCATTGTCTAATATGTTTTGGGCGGGTCGGGCGGGCCGGGCTCGGGCCCAGTTTTGGGCGAACCCGCCCAGGCGGTTCGGGCCGGGCCCGGGTCATTTTTTTTCAATTTTTTTTCTTTTCCTAGGGTAGAGCTGGGTGTTTTAGGGAGGTTTGGGGGTGGGGTCGGGGGATAACAAGAAAGCAAAAAAAATAGACATTGAACCGGGCCCGGCCCGGTTAGGCCCGGACCCGGTATCAACCCGGGCCGGTTCCAGGCCCAAGTATTTGCAAAAACACCCACTTGGGCCCGGCCTGGGTCCGGCCTGGGTCCATCCCTAGTTGATATGTGCCACAATTGAGTTTAGATGGAGAGTAATAGGCAGATATTAGATGAATTGGACTTCACACTCAAATGTGATGAGTTACAAATGAGGAGACTAATCCTGGAAATACATGTTAATAAATCTGCATATTAATCTTCTGATTTCTTGTGGTGTTATTTAATTTCCTCATTATATATGGTAGGGCCACGTGAATGGGATGATACTGTGAAGAAGGTTATGCAAATGGACAACAGCTGGAATAACACGGCAGAAAAATACATTGACATCTACAATTCTGTGAAGGGTTAAGTGATCCCCACTCACCCGACTTGTATCCGGGGACTGGGAAGTCCTTAGAATCCCAATAGTTTTTGTTTCATGTCTGGAAATACATGTTTAGAATTTTGCTTATTGACTTGAGAGTTGAGAATACTATAAAGAACAGAACAACTAGAGTACAACAAGCAAAGCTTGAAATGTTAGTCTCTAAACATTTATATTTGACCGGCTGGGATTTGCCAGGCAAATACCAATAACTCCAATAAGAAATCAAAAGGAGAAGATTCTGGAACAAAGCTACTACCCTTTACTAGGTAATCTATCTAGGGAACAGGAAAATAAGAATTGGGAACTGGCCAGCGACAGGAAAGGGAAAGGGTATTTTTTTGCTTATGAGAAAAGAATAGAAATGACAGCGGTCTGGAAACTGATTCTATATTCTCCCTAACCCCCATCTTTTGGAGGCAACTGCTTACTACTGCCTCCTTCCAGCTGGAGGCTATCAGCAAGGGAATCAGCTAAATGATTTACAGTATCAACAGATGATAATGATGCAGCAGTCGTCTTTGGCACCACAGCCCGCTGTTTAGCCTTCCTTTCTAACAGTGCTTTCTCCCTGTCATTGTAGAATGTAAAATCATCCAACATTGAAGCCTCAGCGTCGTAATCCTTGAAAATCTTCAACATCTCTATCCCTTGTTCCAATTTTACCTGGGAAAACCCAACAAATCAGCCCCCGTACCAATATACAAAAGAAACAGTTTCATTTTTGAACGCAAGTGTATATTAGCAAAAAAACACAACTTGAATTCTTGAAAGATGCACTTTTGCTAAGTGGACTCCTTAGCAGTGTTTACAACAGCTTTGAAAGAGCACTTTTATGTTTTTGGCTGCATATCCCGCACTTTCCCGTACTGTTTAATTTAAATTGTACACAAAGTACTATTAACCAAACACTTCAACTTCTACTTTTTAAAAATCACTTTTACTTTCAAAACAACCTGCATTCACTATAACAAATATTGACAATGACTTATTTATATTATCTAAACCAGTTAAACCTAGCATATTGGAGTGATAGAATCCCACAATTGCAGATCACAGCCAACCATTTACCAAAATCTAGATGACGAATTCATATGTACCTCCTGAGAGTCTCGACTATGAGTGACGGGTTTGTTGTCATTGTTTTCCAGTAGAATATGACGAAACTGTATGTTAGGAACGTCTTTGATGAAATGCCATTTAACAGGGAATTGTCCACTCCATCGGTCCTGTTGCCAGTACTCTGCGTCTTTCTCAAAATCAATTGGCCCTTCCATTTCAGCTACTCCACAGAATTGTCCACTAGCATTGACCTGTAGAATGTTAATTATTTTGAGAATATTTTAAAAAATACACGCGTTTAACAGTGATGATTAAATAAAATTTTAATAATAGCATTAACATGCATGAGCAATTTAAATAAAATAATCTGTGCTAGGTATCCATATTTTTTATGCATCAGAGAAGAATAAATATGACTATAGACAATACTAGTTTCCAAATAACCAGGGACTAAAACCAAACACCTCATCAAGAGGATAAATGGGGCATGGCATCTCTGAAGTAGAATGAGGTACTTCCAAGCAAAAAAAAAAGATTTTTAATGCCTGTATAAGAAGACAGCAGATTGATGAGTGACAAAATCTAATGATAAAAGGAATTATGACAAAGGCAGTCGCACCATTAGTTATTCCAAGTAGGCTCTAGATAGCACTTCAACTATCAATTAAAAGCTAGAGTCTAAACCCTTTTCATCCTATAACTGGACAGTTTCTAAAGCAATACCCCCACCAGCCTTTCAATGCATATGTATCAGCAGAATGGAAGAAGAAAATATATTGTTGTTTAGGTGCACTTGAAAAAGGATTGGGAGACATACCGAAAAAAACAGAAAAACCGGGCAAGTGCCACTAAGATCCTTTGCTTCTCGATAAGCAGCGTCAAGCTTTCTGTTTCCAAGGGGTGTGCTGGACCAAACATTGTACTTGATGCTTTTATGAACATTGTCTTCACTAAAGGACTTGATGACGAAGAACTTAGCTTGTTCATAATCCACAACAAATTCAGGGCGGTTGACCTGATCAAGATCTTTATACACTCCGGACAAGGAGTTCTCTTCAGTGGAACTTCTGTTCTTTAGCTTCAAAGCCCTGGGCCCCCTGCTCCGCTCACTGGATACACCAAGGGACTCAGAAGAAATGTTGGACGATCCTTGTTCCCTATCACTTCTTAAACCTTTTGCAGTAGCAAAGCGATTCTGGTTACCAGCTTCCCAACTAGACCCACTGGCATAGTTTGAACTTGGATATGATCCACCCCGGATGTAGTGTCTAGTAGAGGAGCCTGGTGTGTATCCAAGACCCTGAAATGATGAATCATTTGAAGCTAAAGTGGGTCAGCAGGAATAAATGAGTTGGAGTTAGATTGGCCATTTAAACAAGATAAGTGTTTAACTAAAAAGGGAACACTGAATATAGTTTTGGAAGAACAAAAAACAAGTCGGAAGATAACTTTGGGGCATTTTATATTGTGAAATTCTACTCCATTTAATATCTCATTAGCCTACGAGATTTCTTTAAAAAACAAGTCACTATTATAATGAGCAATTCAAGGGAGACAGTTATTTCTTACATTGTTTAGTGGCATTCTTATGCATCACTCAAACCACTATAACACTAATCATTAAAATACTCAGCCCCACTCAAAAGTCAAATCCACTCAACCGATGCCAACATAAGAACGTGATCCATTTAATAACTCCTTGAATCAATTGACTTCTTCCCGGAGAAAAAATGTTACAGCTTTAAGTCATTTTATGCAAAAAATAATAATAATAATAATAATAACAATGGTGTAATAGCAAACCTGTGCAACATTTTGTTCATACGACCCAAGTAGGCCAAATTGTTGTGGATACAATGCAGCTGAAGTCAGAGGAGAAACATATCTACCGGAGTCCACTGAATTAGGTCGATTTGTCAAAGGTTGTTCTCCGGACCTAAAATCATTCTGGAATTTGTAAAATCCAATGTTGCTGTTTCCAGGAAGCTCTCCTCCAGTAAAAGATCCAAAGGGCATGTAGTAACCTGATCCTGGTCCGTAGATCATACCATCACCAAAACTTTCATGGTGACCACCTCCAGGTGGCATTATTAGCTCAGACTGCGAGGCAGGAAGAGCTTGAGAAACATGTGGGGGTCCGGGTGAAATAGGTGGGTAGTAGGATGGAGATATCGGGACTTGGTGTGGAGAATATAGCTGACCGTCTATCATTATGGGGGATAGAGGACCGCCAATAGGGGAGAATTGTCCGTATGCCATCTGAGTATCATAACCATAGCTAGGAGGGAAAAAGAATGATGAGTTATCATTGTATACAGCCTGTATAAGGTCAATCATAGCAAAAAATGAGCATTTGGTATGTGGTGAGTATGAATATAAAAAATAAGTAGGTTAGGTAAGAGGGTGGATTCAAACTCACTGGGGGTATGACCTGCAAATTATTAGGATTCACTTCATTAGAGTGCTCAGCCCAATTTCCTGAGCTGTTATCATAACCTGAACCAATGCCAAAGACAAAGACAGTCCAATTTCTATATTAGTAGTGCATTCAATCAATCCCTTTCCAAGTTCACCCTCATTTAAAGTTTCATTTTCAAAATTCTACAACTAGAGAATTCATTAATTAACTTCAAAGGGGAAAAAATGATAACTGCATGTGAAATTAATTATCCCAACTAACTTAACAACTATTTCCAAAATGCTAGTTTGCTAGGGACAACTAGTTGAACGTCCCAATTAGAGGTGTCATGTAATTATGTAAATAGAACGGTCATGTAGTAATCCAATTTTAAGTTTTAACACGTGAAAAAATAAGCAATTCAAATCCTTGAAGTATTTCTGGAAGTGAAATCACATAAACTTGCTGCATCAAGTAAAAAGTGTACACCTGAAGCAAGCATAGTAAATCATAATGTTAACATACTTTGATAGACCATAAATGAGCAAGTGGCCATTATAATATCTCAGCATGAATAGTATAGAACCATGGATCAGGTAAAAAGTAGCTAACAGGAACAAACCTCCATAACAAAAACTTTGCTCCGGTGGAGTGTGAGAATTCAATGGATACATGGTGGGAAAAGCTGCACTTGTTTCAGAACTAACAGGTTGATCTTTCACATTTATTGAAACAGCAGACATGGCTGTAACTGGGGAAGCATTCACTGAAACAACCCTTTCATCCTTGGGCGAAATAGACTGACAACAGAATAAACAAGTATTAATGGAATACAATAATACATTACATGTGCAGATATGCTATTTTAGAAATACACACAAAACTTACAGATACAGTAGACAATTAGCAGCATACCTGTTCCGCTACAGCATGTTGCTCAACTCTCTCACCTGCACCATTGTAAGATGAACCCATAGCTTGTCAATGAATAATAACCAAGTATTTTTGTAATAATTATCAAAAGGCACTTTAAAAATCAAAATGATATTCCACTTGTAATTTCACATTGTCTCTAGTGACAATCTCCCACATATAACAATAAATAGCTCTTTGTTTAGGGGTAACTCCAGAAGAAATTTCCAACAGGCTAGGGGGAAATAACAAAGAGAGTGTTGGATATATGATATATCGAAAGGAGACAATCAAAACAGAACAAATAACTGAATAGGCTGGAACAACTAGTGCAAAGGCAAAACAAGGAATCAAGGATAGAACGACTAATAGGTGTTAGATAAACTTTATGATGTCAATTAGTCCTTTATTCAGGATAGATACTCTTGGCTGGTTCTTTTTGGTATATGGTTGGGAGGTTGACTTTCTTTGTGTGGTTAAGGGTACACAGAGTGCATCCCCATGGTTGATTTAGTTTACTTATGAGGAAAAAAAGCTGTATAGAAAGTTAGCTTCTTCTCTTCAATGTTACTTTTTTGTTTAGTCCGATTCTTTTTAAAAGAATGCCTCGACAGGTGCTATTCCTCTTTACAGAGACAAGGCCCAAACTGCAAATCAGGTATTAATACAAAGGATCTGAAGTAATTGAGAAATTCACCATTAAAAAAGGAAATAAAATTATGTATGGTAGCGTGAAGTATTGGACTGAGGAAGTTAATAAAGAGCTAATGATATCTTGCCCCATTTATTAGGAAATAGATATAGAAGAAAAGAGTTAATACTAAGAACAACTCATGTTTGTTTTTTAGAACAACTCATAATTGTTTGCCTAATTGCATATCAAACTGAACATTTGAACAAGTCAACAAGTAGTTGGTAATATGCCTCCTCTAAGCAAAGGGTAACTTCCCCTTGCAACCCATGTACCAAACAATATAATGCTTAACAGTTGAACACTATCATGTACAATAAAAATTAAACCCTTTCTCTCTCCCATTGTACTGCTTCTTTCTTCTAAATTAACATTTAATTAAAGAGCAAGTATTGTACTATGTCAGAAGTATAGAAGAGTCAAGACAAAGAAAATTCTAGACAACAGTTACAAAATTAATTAGAATTATCAGTTACAAATATTTGTATTTAATATTATACTACCTCCGTCCCTCTTATATTGGGTCAGAAGAGAGTGGCACGATTATTAAGAAAAGTGGGGTTGTGTGGTTGATATTAATTGATAAAGTAAGAATAAAGTAAGAATGATTTAGAACACACACAAACTTTACCAAATATGGTATGGGATAATTTTAGTGGGACTTCCCGAAAAGGTAAAACGGGACAATATAAGAGGGACGGAGGGAGTAATTAGTAACCTACCTTATTGGTCCCTAGAATACTGTATAAATAGCAATTCATCTCATGGAATAAATCAAGTTCTTCAGTCTCAATTCTTTCTTATTCTAAAATCCTTTAAGAAGGATCTAGAAACCATTTTTACATCCTCAACATAAATAAAATTCAAAGGTACAACTCTCAATGAATCAAAAAGTACTTCTGTTGTTTCACATAGTCAATTCAGCATTATGATAGATCAAATTTGGCACTCATGAAGCATCTAGAAGCATATTCTCATAGAAATCAAATTCTTAGAAAGGTGCCTATGTTAGAGCAGTGATAGCAGTGAATCCAAAGCAAACACTTCAAGAGTGCAAGTTAAAACTATCCCCATAGAAACCTTGAATGCAGGCTCTGCTGCCAGTTCCTTCTGTTGTCTTATTGTCAGACTTCTCCAACTAGTTGAGATAACACTATGTTGCCCAAAGTAAGAACTTACAATATTCTTTCTTAAGCAGTAAGTAGAGACTACAAAAAATTGCTCACTCTCAATTCATCATCATTAACTAGATTAGATTTTGTTCCCATATGATTCTTAAAATCACATTTCCTAAGCACAAGTAGAAGAAGTACAGTAAAGAAGTATCTCTCTAGCTAGATCATAGAGTTAAAAAATGGTGCTTATTACCATCAGCTCTCACTGATGGATCAAACAAAGGTCGATTTACCCAAAATCCCAAATTTATAGTGAGTGAGAAAAGTTTAATAACAACAACACACAGTCTCTGCCATTGCCAACCATTTCATCAAGATTACAACTCCATAGAGTGATACCAATATGTTCATGGGATAGGATACTTAATAATGACATACTGAGTACTTAATATCGATGCCATTGCACAAAAAACACATGTGTCCGCTAAATTGCTTAGCTAAAATACTACATTTGATGCAGCATGCAACACATTGCAAGAGCTAACAAGATAGCTGTAAAATCAAGACAATAACATGCAATAACAAAATATGATTCAAATACAAAGAGGGTCCCGAAACCTCCTTACATGGTTGTAAGTTGTAACAACCCCCATTGTGGTACTTAACACAAAATGTGTGATAAAATCAAAACCATAGCCCTACAAGTGCAATAAAGTACTTAAAACCCATATTTTTCCTTACCCTAATCTTCCAAATTTGGTCAACGTGACACCATAGAAAGCAAAAATACCCCTTATATAAAATCTTGACACGCAACTCATGTAAAATCTCCCAAACAAAGAGTCAAGAATTAGAAGCATTGAATTGGAAAAAAGGAATAGGATTGATGGGAATGGGTGTATACGAACTGGGAGAAGAGTTGGAGGCAAATCGATCAGAACCCTGTAGATTCTTGTCCTCCATCAATCCAATTGAATCTAACAGAAGCGCAAGAACTTCAAACTTAAATCACAAATCAATCTTCTTATTCACGCATTCACAGAGACGTGAACCGGTTGTTCTCTTCCCTGAACTGGAATCGGGACCAGAGTGAGAAAGCAAAAGATTAGTTTGCTTCGCGGGAGGGTTTGAAAACAAATAGAGGTTTAGGGTCCACCATGAGCCTCTTTATATACTGGACTAGAAGACTAGCGATACATACGAAGTGTATGTTATATACTCCGTATCCGTATGATACAAATGTCTATATACGACTACGCCCGTCGCCTCTCTCTGTGGCGTCTGGAAGCTCGTTCAGCTTTTTCGATCTCTGTTTCGTATATTCCGTATTTCTACTCGTCCAATATCTGAGTTAAGAGTTGGTGAGAAATCAAAAAAGGAAATAAATTTTGTCTTTTGCACATTGACCCCATTATTTTGTTTTTTTTTTAATGACAGATATTCCTTAATCCTTATGTTGAAATGGGATATATTATGGGACTGTGATGTGTTTGGAAATACCGATAGAGAAACATGTGTTTGATATATTTAAGGATGCATTCCGAATTCCAATGTAATACTACGTAATAAGTATTTATTAGATGATGAAAATGTAATAATTCATATATAAAGTTTCATTATACCAAAAAAATAGCTCCAAAATAATATAATAATGTAGGGGCCGTTTGGAGCCTATAAAATGGGCTCATAAGCCTTAAAATAGAAAAAAAACAGCCAATTACCTGTATGCTTCACTTTTGTATCACCCATATCATTAATGTCCCAATTATTTTCCCTTTTCATTTTTAACTTTTGTATTTTCAACTATTTTTATTTATTTCACTTTTGGACTATTGTGGCCTCCTTCGCTCCGTGTAGATTAGAACTCGCGAGATTTAAAAGGCAGATTCCCTGTTCTTCGGCTCCTGGCCTCTGTGAAGCATCGACATCTCTCTCCTCTCTTTTCTCTGGCCTCTGTGAAGCATCGATGCCAATTCAACCCGAGACACCAATTCACCGGTCGCTCGGTAACTTTGTCAGATTGCCAATGTCAAGCATCGATGCCAATTCAACCTGAGACACCAATTCGTCGATCGCTCGGTAACTTCTTCGGAGACACCAAACCTCCAGAACTCCTTAATTTGTATGTTATCTGCTGGGGCGAATTTGCGACTTGCGAAAAACATATATACGTCTGTAATATACTATTGCGACCTTTGATTTAATGCTAATGATTAAATATATAACAACAAGAGAACCTGTATATTGACCACAAGATTTGATACACAGCTAGTGGACTTTCTGTTGATCTAACATGTTCTACTTTTATTAGGTCTAAGTATGAGCTTCAAGAATTTTTAAAGCTTAGCTTGCGGATTTCATCGCAATCAAAGAAGCAATCTCTTCAGGCAGATGATTTTCAAAGTTCAAGTTCAATACAGAAATCTGCAAGTTCTTGCTTGTTTACATGGAGATGTGCAAATATCTTTGATGGAGTACATGACCCGGGAACCCCCGGCCCACAGACTCCTACTACTCCAGCGAAGGCCCAACAGGCCCAGAAGGCCCAACAGGCCCAGATCACAGCGCCCAGAGTACCAAGCAGCTCGCACTACGCGCCAGGGGTGCCTTCGGCCCCCTGGCCGAAGGCTCTAAACTCTCACAGGACGGGCTTCTCAAGCAAATTAAGAAACTGGGAGAAAACGGCGAAAACAGTAGCCCTCGGCACTGTGAGCCCTCGGCACCAGAGTGCCATCGGTTGGAGGAGCCCTCGGCTACTGCTCTATAGCCGAAGGCATCTCACTCGACAAGATATCCGCCTCACGTGCGTGCAGATCACCGTACCCTGCACAGACGTCCCATCCAACAGCCGCATTAAATGCGGTCACATGCGGCTGCCAGCGCCAACCAGTTGAGGTGACCCCTCGGCCAATGAGCGCTTGACACGTGTCCCTGTCCGGCATTTATTGCTACTATAAATAGCACCCCATTTCCCCATTTGTGACCACGACATTCATACCGAATACACTCTCTCTCTCTCTACATTTACTTACCCGCTCTGACTTCTCTCTAAGTTATTCCCCGCAATAACCCTTCGGATATATACCCCCGGGTAGACTATCCATCATTTGGTGCTCTCGTTGAGAGGTCGAACAATCAAGTAAGAAACCCTCCCCCTCGACCAAACACAAAACACCTACCAAAATGGTGAGAACAACACGTGCCAACTCAAAGAACGTAGCACACAAGAACCTGGCCCTCGGCGACGTCAACGCCCCCGAAGCCTCTCACAGGGCTCCCGAAGGCGGTGTCATCGCTGGGCTGGAACAGGCGGCTGTCGACCTACGCCTTCAGATCCAACAAAATGCCCCTGATGCCCGCCTCGGCATCGAGGCCAAAAAGAAAAACCGGAGTGATGACCAAGTCAGCCCTCCGGTTCTCACCATCGACGTGCAATCGGCGCTCTCCGCCTTCATCCAAACGCTCACTCAGAACCCGGGTGCCTTCGGCACCCTGGCTCCGGCTCAACCCCAGGTTGGGGAAAACATCATACTTCCCCCTCTGCCACACCCCTTCGGAAACCTCCTCCCTCGGGTTAGGAATGACGAAGGGGTAGTGGCCCAAGATACGTCCTCCCAGGAAGTTCAGTCCCGGGACCGCCACCATGACAACAGAGAAAGGCCCCGCACTTCCGCCCTCAACCGGCTCGGAGGAGGGCCAGACCGCCGAGGGGTCCAAGACCGCCTCGGAGGGAGAGCACTCCAAAGGCCCCAGGAAAGCGGAGGGTCTGTCTCGAGGGCAGACGAGGAGCGTCCCCCTCGGGACAAAGGCAAGGCACCCCTTCATGCCGATGATGCTCGCCACCAGATCAACCAGGCCCACTCGGCCCGGGTTCGTTCGCAGGGGGCGGAGATCCTCCCGAAGGATCCCCGGGACGAGATTATTGCGGCCCTCCAACGCCGGCTTGACGAAATGGAGTCCAACAAAGCTCACGCTACCACCTCCACCCCTCATTCAGATCTCAGATACGAGGCCATGATGGCCAAAATGGAGGAGTTACAGAAGAAGGTGGCCGAGGGCTCCGGGGAACCCGTCATCCAGCTCCGGACTCGGACGCCATTTACCCCAAGGGTATTGGCAGCCCGGATCCCGGAAAAATACCGAGGGCAACACATACAGCCCTACAACGGGAAAACGGACCCCCAGGAACACTACAGCAAATACCAGAACAGCATGATGATGGTGGGGGCGTCAGACGAATATTTGTGTCGTTGGTTCCTCTCCACCTTAGAGGGGCCGGCGTACGAATGGTTCAACAGGCTACCCGAGGGCTGCATTGATTCATGGCAAGAACTCGCCCAGCGATTCTTGACACAATTTGCCGGGAGGCGTCGCACAAGGAAGCACTTCTCCCACCTCCTTACAATACGCCAGAAAAAGGATGAGACCCTTCGGGACTTCCTGGAGCGCTGGAGGACGGAGGCCGACAAGGTCGACGGTGCTGATGACGGGACCCTCCTGGCCCTCCTACAAACCGTCCTCCGCACCGGCAACTTTTCAAGGAGCCTCATCATTGAACCCCCTCGAGATTACATAAGGGCTTTGCAGCGGGGGGACCGATATGCTGAGGCCGAGGAGGTGGAGAAGTACCACCATCATCCGGATCAGCAACCCCCGAGGGCTGACAACAAACATAACCGAGGGCCGGGGGCTCCTCCTCACCATCCCAAGGCTTCAGGGCCCTCTGATGACCGCCCTCGGCAAGGCCAAGCCAAGCCCGGGGGAGGTTATAAGAGCAACCCTAAGACTTGGGCACAGCCCATTCTCATGGACCGCCCTCGGACACCATTGACGCACCCCGTCAGCATCATCCTCGATTTTGCCGAGGAGAGGGGCCTCGTTGAGCGCGACTCCCGCGCACCCCCGGAGGTACATGCTATCAACCCTCAGTTCCCCTACTGTCGTTTCCATCGGCACTAGGGGCACCGGACCGATGACTGCCATCAGCTGAAAACGGCCATCGAGAGATTGATACAGGCGGGGCACCTGTCCCAGTTTGTCCAGAGCCCTCGGCAGGAGGGGCCTTCTCATCAGGGACCTCCCCGAGGGCACCACACGAAGGTAAACGCCTGGGTGAACTCGAACACCATCCCCCTCGGCAAGAAGAGGGAGATCGGAAACTTGGAGGAGGAAGAGGAGGAGTACCCCCACTACCAGGAGAAAAAACGTCACATCCTCATGATCACCGGTGGCAATACAGGGGGCGATTCCACCAGCCAGCGAAAGAAGTGGGCTCAATCGCTTTACGTAGGGGAAGTCACTCATATGCCCCCGGTAAAGCGACTGAGGGAGGAACCCTTCACCAACGCAGATCTCCCTCCTACTTCTTCTCCTCACAGGGATGCCTTGGTGATTCGGACGGAGATAAACGACACCATCATCCACCGAACTTACATTGACACAGGCAGCTCCGTCAATGTAATGTACCTCAGCACCTTCAGAGAGCTGCATCTGGAGAGGGGGTCCCTTCGGCCCATTAAGACCCCTCTTGCCGGTTTCACCGGCGATACTATTGATTCCGAGGGGGTAATAACCCTCCCGGTGATCTTCGGCGACGGGCTCCATAGAGCCCAGCTCGAAGTAGAGTTCGTCGTCATCAACATTGACTGCGCCCACAACATCATCCTCGGTCGGCCAGCCCTGGAGGACCTCGAGGCCATCATCTCCATGAGGCATCTCTGCCTCAAGTTCCCCGCCGAGGGGGGCATTGGCTACTCCCGGGGGAACCAGAAAATTGCCCGCGCCTGCTATCTTCAGGTCACTAAGAAGGTAAGCAAGACGGAATTCCGTGTTGACACCATCACCGGAACCATCGACCAAGAGGAAAGAAGGCCGAGGGTTGAACCGGCCGAGGACGTAGAAGACTTTGCGCTCAATCCGGCCCAGCCGGAGAGAGTCGTGAAGATTGGAGCCCAGCTCCCTGAAGATCTCAAGACCGGTATCACCGACGCCCTCCGCGCCTACTCCACTGTCTTTGCATGGGGGCCGGAGGACATGCCGGGAATCAGCCGAAGGGTCATCACCCACCGCCTCTCGGTGGACCCTTCGGCAAAGGCGGTGCAGCAACATAGAAGACCCCTCTCCGCCGAGAGAAGGGAATTTGTGAAGAAAGAGGTCGCCATGCTCCTCTCCATTAAGCACATCAAGGAGGTGAAATATCCCTCATGGCTAGCAAATGTAGTCCTCGCACAGAAGCCCCCTACCTTCCGCATGTGCGTGGACTACACCGATCTCAACAAGGCGTGCCCTATGGATCCATTCCCTTTACCAAATATTGATCAACTGGTGGATGAGACCGCAGGGTGTGAGATCATGTCCTTCCTCGATGCC